TCACTCTAATGAAAACAGTAGTACATTAACAACAAACAACAAACATTTTATTAACTCCTTGAGAAACAGTAGCCGCAATATCACAATAATAATTATTGCCACAGTAATCGTAGCGTCATAGTAATTACCAAAATAACCCTAATCGTAGTGAGTCCTTTCCTTCAAACACTTCAAAACAGTGTGAAATACGAAGGTCATCCATGTCTCAATTTCGCTATATTTATAATGAAAAAACTTGCCAAAAGAGGAGGGCGGGCTAATTTGCATATTCAGTGGTTGCATGCCACAACATTATCTGAAAACAAAAAGTATAATTTTCCTAGGATGCAAAATAGGTAGGGAAGGATGAATATGAGAATATTTCCTTCTTCATCTGAATAAAAAAAATAAGATGAACTTTGAAGAGAGTATACGATTCAGAGAGGCAAGTAAAGATGATAAGGAGGTCATTTAGCAAGAGGAAACTTGATGTTAAACCTTTTGATGTTACCGACGCGTGTCAAATTTGGAAGTGCTGTAGAGATGAGGAATCTTTGCAGGAGTTGTAGCCCATGGCATATCCACAACCTGAAATTCTTCTCTCATGACGCTTAGTCACATTTTATTTAGTATCCATTTTTTCTCAGAAACGTAGCCTTCGTTGTCTACTTGTCAAGATTAACCCTTTCACGCTTCTTATCATTCCGAGTTGTGCACATTAGCTTTCAGTCTTGTTGTTCACAAGAAGTTTTAATATATTCGCAATTTTGATTTCACAAAATGATTGAAAAATTTTTCCTTCACAGTACATGAAGTTGAGTAAAAATGAAAATTCAGATTTTTTTTTCATAATGAAAAATTAAAACTATCAATAATACTATCAAATTCCATTATCAGTGTTCATCTAAATTGCTATTAGCATCATCATTATCGCTTTTTAAGCATTCTCGATATATATTGAAGTATTCGGAGATATTCTGAAGAAATACAAAACTTTTCAAGCAACAATTTTGGCTAATTATATTCATCGATGGCTCCATTCGCTCCATCTCTCTTCGTTTTTTTCTTTCATTTAATTAATAATTGGCCAAAATTAGCCGTCTACATTTTCAATCATTCGGTATGATTACACTTTTTCCAAATTTTTAAGCATTATTTTTTAAAATTCAAAAATTGTTAAAAATTAAAATTGTTTTATAAATTTATGTTAATTTCTTTCACATAACTGCATAGAATTCAAAAGTTTCTTAACTTCTTTTTATGTCTTATAAATAATTTGACTTTTCGTGAAGAATTCAGTAATGCACCAAATTTTTTGCATTCTAAATCCGTTATCACTCCAATTGCTTTTCATTAATTTATCTGTTGCTAAGTTTTGATTCAAAATTAGTTACGTTCCAGAGATAAATTTGCTATAATTCACAGATATTTTACTGTCAAATTTCTTGCTTAATTTATCTAATTTTGTATTATTTCTTTTTTCTTTTTCCAAATTTTAACTTTTCATGAACAAATTTCGCTCGATTTTTGTCATAAACTTGAATTTCTTTCAACGAATGTTAATAACAATATTATATATATTTGAAAATAAGTTCAAAAATACCGCAGTGCAATATAATTTTTGATTGCTTATAAAAGTTAATTTTCTCAAAAATTTCCATCCATACTATGTTTGTGCATAACGAAGAAAGTACTCTTTATTTAAAATATTTTAGATTTCAATTAGTTTTTTTCGTTTTAAGAATTTAAATAACTACAGTCAAAAAACTCTGCAAATGAAGTATTATTTACATTTTATTCACTAATTTGCATATTGTAGACAATTAGCTCATCCTTGGTGGAACTTGTCGAGATAAGATGGACAAGGCCTACTAGATTAAGACACAATGGAAATAATGGCTTGTTTGCTAATACTCCCAGTGATTTTCGAAAAAATTATGGTTTAGTGCACTTGTCGGTGTGTTCAAGTTTGCTGAGAACTTGGCCAAATCGAACTATTCAAAGTTTAGAATGGAAAATTTCCAGAGACTATGGTCAGAAACAGTTTGGTTGGATCACAGATGAATGTCAAACATTGTGGGTTGCTCCAGAACAGGTCAGGATCCAGACAATCCTTTTCTCGCTAAATTTATTTCTTCTAATATTCTTCATTTTTTTCAAATAAAACTTTAACATGTAATAATGCTACGTTTAAGAAGTGTTTGGTATTATATTTTACAGTAATTTCTTTGCTTACAGTCTAATTACAATGTGGAGGTTTGGGTGAAACTTGTAAATGAGAAAATTCTTCATGGCGAGACTTATATACAAATTCGAGATCGCTGGATTGCTGCTATCGGTGATTCATTTTCTTCAGGAGAAGGGAATCCTGATATTCCTGCAAATTTAGTTGAAAATGCAATGGCTAAATGGCTTTCAGGTTGTTTTGTTTTGTTAGTTTTCAAACAAATAAATAATTTTGAAACCAATCAATACAATCAACTTTAGTCTTTTTTAGCATTTTATTTACATGGAATGCAAAAAGTGACCTCTTTCAATATTTCACTACTCAGACTATTATTGCTTGGAAGTAGTGATAAGAGCAGTAACATCAGATTATTTGGGGGCACTGTGATTGTTTATTGAATGAGAGAAGTATTATTTATGCTATGTACGCTAGCAGAATGATCTTTTATTTTACTCAACTTTTCTTCAGTGTAAAAAAATCAAAAAAATATTCCAGCTTGATCAACCTTAATCCTTCCGTGCAGCTTTATGGCTGTTTCATTTAATTTCTGCATTGTTTGAAATCAAAAATTACAGTAAAAATTTTGTTTTTTAGATGCACATTACGTTCAGTAATAATAAATTCCTAGAAATAAGAGGTAGCTTGAAGTTTTTTAAATGTGCACTGCTGCCAATCACACGAGATTAAGTCATTCTTCTTTTGCACTATGAATTATTCATTTAGATATATACGATATGTGCAAACGATACGGTAGATACAAAGATATGATAGAGAAAGTTCACTTCAGCTAAGTGAAAAATAAAGAAGTAGCGGTAAGATCAAAGTTAGAAAAAGTTAAATTTCATTTTTGTGATAACGAGAAATTATTTCAAGAAAGTCGATGCATCAATCAAAAATTTTCAATCATCGGTTAGCCTGAAATGAATGCACGAATCGCAGTACTCTTTCTAACTTTCAGCTTAAAAGTGTAAACACGTCTTTTTTTATTATAATTTTCAAATTAATTAAAAATTTAACGATTATTCCACTGCTTTGCTGCTTTTTTCGTTTTTCATCGATCATTCACCATTCACCGTTACCATCGCTACCATCGTTAGCATCGTTACCATCTTTACCATCGTTACCATCATCTAAAAATGCTGACTATTTTGCTTCCCGAGAACTAATCATAATCTTTACACAAAATCATAAATAACTTTTCGAATTTTTACAGTTATTAAGTTTTTCAACACACTTTATTAATATAACTGATGTTCCGAACTACATTCATCCTAAAGCAGACGTTTCAATTTCACGTTTAAATTTGATTGCAAAGCTAGAATAATGGTATGGTATATAAACATTTGCATAGCCGTGCAGTTTGCTTCTGTAAAAGGAATGTTATATCTGTTGTCAAAATTTTGTTTTGTAAATCCTTCGATTTTAATGAAAATTTATATTTTTTTGAGATTGAAATTTGCTAATCTATTTTAATTTTATTCTCTCATATTACAATATTTAGAAGCCCTTCATTATACAGTAATTACTTTATTTATTATAAATTTTATCAGTAAACTGCATTCTCTAAAAGAAATTATCAATTATCGCTGTTTTTCAAAAACATTCACAATATTTACAGCTATCTTCTATTTATTCATTGTTTTCAAGATCGATGTCATCGAAGTTCACGGTCATGGGCTTACAAAGTGTATAAAAAAGTTAAAAGTACTATTTCGAGGCAAACAGCGGTGCACTTTACTTATTTGTCATGTACAGGTGCTTCAGTTGATAATGGTATTTTGGTCGCTTATAACGGAACTTCTCAAATTAACATATTGGAACAAATATCACAAATCAGGTCAGTTATGTTAAAGTTCATTCATACATTTATACACTTGTATGAATTAACCGTATATTTTCAAATAAAGTAAAATTTAGACTCAATAACTTCGAAGCAAATGAGTATTGGACTTCCCTGTTCGTACAATGCAGTTAGTTAAAGCTCAAGCATAATAATTTGCTTAAAGTTACTTTTAGTTTCGAAGTTATAGCGCAAACAAAAAAACATTACCATTAATCAGATGTCCTGAGATTAGTTATTAATTATCAAAAACTTTAGAATAAGAGCAGCAGGTTTAGCAAGAGCTAAGTTAAATGTTTCAGAGGCAGTGGTCCTGATTTACTAATGATGTCTGTTGGAGGCAATGATATCGGCTATTCAGAAATTTTATCTACTTTAATTTTGGGCTCGACTACTTTGTTATTTTCTACAATTGACATGCGTTTTTTCTACACGTCTCATCAGTTGGATCGAGTTGGCAACACAATTCAAAAATTGAAGCCTGATCAGGTAATATTTGTACCACATTACTTTGATCAATAATACCAGTAGGTATTTGCATCATTCAAAATAAAAATTATCATCAGTAAAAACCTGAAAAGCGTATTATTGAATACCTGATCAGATATTACCTGATATTACCTACTGGTATTATTGATGTATGTTTATCGTCTTGTCATTTATTGAAGTCGAAAAAATATTTAACTTTGTAATTATTTCAATTTTTTAATACTTAATAAGTTATCCTCTAGGTTATTGTACCACATTACTTTGATCTCACACGTAATGAACGAGGTTTGATAGATGCAAATTGCACTGATATGCGACAGGTACATTTATTTGCTATCGCAAAGCGTGACAAATCTGATATTATTCTAATTTTGTACATTTTCCAGGAATAAACGCATTAGTATACTCCGAAATTTTACTTAAAACTTCTTTTAAATAGTAGGTTAATTAAAAATCATAGAGATGAGATTCAAATAGAAGTTTAAAAGTAATTTCCTTGCTTTTGAGTTTGCGCCTTAAGCATTTATGGTAGTTTTATTTTCATAATTTGCTATTTTCATGGTAGTTTTTTTACTTTTTATTAGTTAATGAACGTGAAGCAATTTACTTCGTACTTTATTTCAAATCAAATTTCAACTTTGTTTCTGCTTTAATTTAAAAGTGTTTGGGAATTAAAATAACTTGTAGATTAGCACCGAAAATTTGGTATTAGCTGAAAAAAAGATTTTACGACGAATAAACGACTTGATATCAAAAAAATCGCATCAGTATGGTTGGCTAGCTGTTGACGGAATAGCAGAGCTATTTCGGTCACGTGGTTGTTGTTCGTCAAAGTCCCTAATTAGGTAAATAATTCATTCATCTTGTCTTGAACTTTTTCTCTCCTCATAATTATTACCAATAAAAAAACTACTTTAAACAATAAATTAATTATGGTTCCATGCAACAAATCATTTTTATTGGGGAATTAGCACTGATTTTGAGCAGATTAGTATTGATAAGCAAAAAGTTGCAACAGATCATAAGTAAACACTAAATTGTTTACAAAATATTTAATAAACGGTTATTACTACAATAAATACAAATTCCATTCGAAGTTCTTTAATTATAGCATTTAAAAAATTACTTAAATATAAGATACTGAACTACTTTTTCGATAAATGACATATTACTATCAAATCACTTAAGTTTAGCAGCTGTGATTTGCCAAAATTTGATTCAATTTAATTTGTAGATGCAAATGGATTATTAGTTATTAGCAAGCAAAAGTTTAACTTTACTGCTTTAAAAAGTATGAAGCAGCCGTTTTAGAGTTTAAGACTGTGAAGAATTTGCATTTTCAACAGTTTATCATAACCGATTTTATTCTAAAAATTATTATACTCTTTTCAGAGTGTTAATTCTTCGATTTTTGTAAAAATAACATTGTTTTTTGATGGAGATATTTTAAATTACAGAAGTATACGAGATTCAATTCGATTACAAGGCAATAGCTTCGGAGCATTCCATCCAACCGAAGAAGCTCATCAGCAGATCGCTGATTTGATCATCAAGAGAATGATACAATTTGATGATTAAAATTATTCCAAAATTAAAATTAACGAAAAAGCGAATGGAATATACTACCTGAAGATGGAATGTGGGAAGAGTGCAAAATTCAAAAGGATCATAACAACGAAATACAGCATTGATAGCATTTCTACTGAATTTTGTGAAATTATTACTTCTGAGAACTTCACAACTTGATAGAAACAGTAAAGAACTGCTCGAATCGTCAAATAAAATTTGAGTCTTCAAATCACTTCCATATATATAACCTTAAAAGTTAAACCCATTCAACAGTATTTTTCTTCAGTAAAATTTAAATGTTTCACATTTCGATCTCAATATTCCATTTTACTTCACTATTGCAATATCGCGTAAATTCCGTCATAATTTCTGTAGTTCATAACTGATTCAGTAACGTGTAAATATTTCACTCACAGCTGTAAAACATGTATTCTAACTTAAATATTATTCATTTCAATGTGAAAAATAGATAAAGCGCAATGAGCAATTGGAAATCAATTTCACTTTCAAATGATGAAAAATTAAACTGAGTGCTTGGCTAAATCGATAAAATATGATATTAGATTGCATTAATGCATCAGTTCAACTTTTAATCAGTAAACAATGCAAATAAGATCAAAAAATATCGAATTCATTTTTTTGTAAAAATTTAAAAAGAATTTGGGCTAAAATACTTTTCGAGAAATTTGCAAATCGCATGAGTTATATTCTGATGCTATCTATCTACTCATCTATCTACCCTTTATCTATCTATCTATCTATCTATCTACTCTATATCTACCTATCTATTGGAAAAAAGAGCTAAGTTAGTCTCTCTTTGATACCCTTAATGCAAATGACAGCACTTCTAAATTCAATAATTTACGCTGAAAACAATGCAATTTGCGCTATTCTCGTTTACATTGCTGAAATTTTTGTATGAATTGTGAATGGTAAGATTTGAATAACGAATGATACGTACAAACGTCAGATTTTGCCGAGACAAAATGAAAACGAATAGCGAATAAGCTCATAATATGGAATGATTTCTTGCTAGAACAGTTAACATAACTCTGAACCTCTTGCATATCAAACAAGAATTATTCTGTTTATTCAAACTTGCTACCTAATTTTTAATTTTAAGACTATGACACGCACAATTATTAAGTATCTTTAATTACATATATGCAAATATTCAAGGTATCTTACGAAATTTACTTCACTTTTCTACAGTCGAAAAAATCATGGTAACAGACATCTCAAATTTAATTCCAATCTTAGAATTCGTATTTTTTAATTCGTGATTTCCACATATGTATATAGCACTAAACAAGTTACAAAATACCCTTGCAAAAATTTATTTTCTAACATTTACCCAAAATAACTCAATATCGGAATTACATTTCCCTGTTCAGAGATTAATTACAATTAGCGCAAATAATCTGAAAACTTTAATGGAATTAAAAAAATTTTATAGTGTAGTTTTTTAATGGGCTTATTACTGAAACAATTATTAATTATTTTGTTTCTGTAATATTCTGCAAGTATGACAGATAATTTTTGTTGCGTGTGAATCTTAATCAAAAAGAAAGTAATTTTCACTGAAAAAACTGTTAATCAGCTTTTAGAATTACACTTCACTAATACTTTAAGTACATCAGCAGTTTGAGACTTCTTAAATGCTTCTTCAATTTGCATGAGATTAAAGTGGGCCTTTGTTATTTTGTCTAGTTTGATTTTCCCTGCGCTTATAAGTTTGATCGACAGCGGCCATCTGAAATTTTATTTGCTGCATATAATAAATATTATGGATTATTAATAAAACCTATCCAAATATTATACTAATCAAGCTAAAAATGGTGCATGTGAGATAAATTCGTTAAGCCATAAGGTTAAATTTATCATCCAAAATAACTCGATATCGAAATTTTTGATTTTAAATTTATTATTATCATCGATTTTATCAAGTTATCATGTTTAGGAACGTTCTATATTTCAGGAAAAAAGTGATATTTCAGATGAAAACCATCAAAATACAATTATTACTGGTTTTGTCACGGAAAAAACTACAAAAGTAACAAGAATAATTTTTATCTCAAAAACGCTTCAATTTAACTGATGCAAAGAACAGTATTCTCTACTCTCTTGCAACATATGTTTGATTACTAAATTATTTTATTTAATGAGTTTATTTGCTTGAACTTCCATTACTGATACGATTTTTCTGGCACTAATTTCAACAATAATTTCCGGTAACAAATATCACTGAATTGGATTTCGAATTTTGAAAAGATATCTGTCAGTACTTTTCAATGCTTTCAATATAACACAACACTGAAGTACTAAGCTTACGTGTTTGCATATTTTATAGCACCACGTAAGTCGATTTCTCGCATAACAATATCTGACATTGGAATTTTTAGATAATCCGCTGCCAAGGATAAAATTACTACTGCTCCACCGTTCTTGATACCCTTAACATATCAGAATTGATTCAGTTATAATTTTTATTTCTAAAGTTCACTTCCTGTAAATTTGTAAGAGAAGTGAAATATGATGCCAGCAAATAATAGGTTTTTATCAATTTTAGAGGAAATTAAAGTCACTGTCGTATTATTTTTTTGGGAAAAAAATTTAGAGCCAAAATTAGTTAGTTGTGATAATCAAAACCTTAATAGACAAATCAAAAGTTGCTTGGCATCCAACTGTTTCCACGGACATATCAGGAAGTTCTCCCAATTTATTTCTCATACTTGCAATTACATCACTTTCTGATTTCTCGGCTACATTGATTGTCAAATCAGCGCCTGCTGATCTAGCAACAGCAAGTCGACTCTCAGATATGTCGGTAATTACCACCGAACTTGCGCCGAAAGCCTTTGAGGCTAGCATTGACATTACCCCGATAGGACCTAAATTTTGGATTTTAGAATACAGATTTTTACACATAGGTCCAGATGAATAAATGAAAATTTTTCTGATGGATAGGTAAAATAAAGTAGCACTTATATAATCTGTTAATGAATCTATGGAAGTAATTTCTGATCAGGAAGCAAGTCGGCATTTATTAGGTTCACAAAAAACGCCAAAATTACAGAACGTAATAATTATGTAGTTATGTATAGAATGAATATACCAACCTGCTCCGAGTACCAACACTTTGCTACCAGCTGTAACACCTGCTCTGGTAACTGCATGAATGCCAACGGAGAGCGGTTCAAGAAGGCTTCCTTCTTCCATCGTCATATTGTCAGGTAATCTAATATTGTTTTGCATACAACTTAAAGTTCTCCACAAAAACTTTTCCGAAACTAAAATAATTGCGACAAAGAATCTTACAAAACTTGATTCTTCTGCTTATGTAAAAAATCAATAGAGTAGCAAAACAAAGACAAACTTGTAACAAAAGTCAGCATCATGGGCAATGTACTGCAGGAACAGTCCATTATTTGGTGGCAAACCAGTGAAAGCCTGATTTTGGCACAAATGATAGCGACCAGATTTGCAGTAAGTACACTTGCGACATGACACGCCAGGTTCTAATGCGACGCGGTCTCCTGGAAGACTAGCTGAACTGAAGAATCTAAGTTTTTATATGTTTTATTTCGTATTATGATTTCCATTTTCATGTGTGCATTCACGTCAAAATATAACTAACCAAAACTTTATATTTTTGTGACATATCAATAGAACGTAATAAATAAATCTCACGATTAAATTACAGTTAGTGATTTTACTCACCGACACTAAAGTTTTTGACATTCTTTCCTAACCCAGCAACAATACCAGCTCCTTCGTGACCCAAAATATGAGGTTTTTGAATAGCCAAACCGGCAATACTTCCAGTACGATAAAGATGCATGTCAGTGCCACAGATTCCGACTGTATCAAGCTTGATTAGCAGCTGATCATCTTTGGGCTTCGGTATCTGCCTTTCTTCGAAACGCAAATCTTTCGCTGCATGCAGCAGAGAACACAAATTCTTGCCGGTTGCATAACCTCGGTAGCATGACACCAGTAAGTTTTTCATTGCAGAATTGTACTGAAATAAGCGTTAAAAAGATAAAATAATCCGGCTTTGAAATTGGTGCACTGACAACATGCACAACAACTTAATTTTATATATTTCCAGATTAATGTTCAGGGCATAAGTTAGATAAGCGCTCAAATTACAATGCGACCGAAGAAATTCAAAGCATTAACCGTTTCTGGAACCATCAGTCTACCTTCCAGTTGATAAATATTAACTGAAAAATATTTGATTTCACAACCATTAATTACATTTTGATATAATACACACATAAATCAAGACTTTAAAAAACAACTAACTGTTTAAGAAGCATAGGGAATGGGAATGAGTGATCGACCAATCAACAAAGAGAACAAGAGCAGAAAATGAAAATATAAGCTGTCACGTGATCTATATGCAACTGATAACATATCACGCAAAATTATGCGGCTGACAGCATGAAGTTCTCCAAATATTCTTGCTATTCTTAATGCTTTTCAGACTTACATATTGGAAGCAGACAAAATATACGCAAAATTACTGAACGCCACAAAACGATGCAAAAACTACACAAAACTACACATTACACAAATATTTGTGTTATGGCAATGATGCAAAAACTTGAAGTTTGTTGAGGAAATTAACTGATTCAGTTTGATTGGTATCAAATGTGCTTTGCCGAATTTCTCATTCCCAAAAATAATACTTAGAAGTTTCATTGAGAGGAAAACAAACGCAAAGAAATCTCGAGACCGAATAAAGCAGCTAAAAGATCAAAAAACTTTATGAAAACAAGTCGGAAATAATATTATTTACTTACTTTGACACATTTGAAAGAGAGTAAAGTTGCAAAGCACACAAACCACGAAAGCAATTATAGTGTTGAATAATTTGTGCTCATTTCATACGTGAACGCAAAAAAAGATG